TTACTGCATCTAATCTTATAAGTTGTTAAATAGTGGCAAAACGAGGAAATAAGGCACATACATTTGACAATATACACGCGTGTACAAGGGCCCATCATAACAGCTTGCACTGGGGCCCATTGTTACCAAGTTACGCCACTGCATGCTGCACAGTGTGCGGGCCAAAATCATTAACGTTAGTTGCACATTGATTTTGTTGATCACGTGAAAGTTTAGTAGCCGCAGTTATTCAATCAACAGCTGTCTCTCTGTGCTGAACAGGGAGAACCACACGTTTCCGTTGTGTGCACTGCACAGACAGTCCGGAGCTGCATTTCCGCAGTTCCGAGTTCCGTCTTATTTAATTCTCTCAACATTACGTAATCAATTACGTATCAATTAACCTCTAGGTAATCAATTATTGAATACGCATGGGTGCGTTGTTAAAAAAATAAGAGTGGTAAAAGCGTCACAGCATCCTTTAAAGATATTTTAGCTGAAGGTAGAATACCGCATAAAATTCAAACAGACTAGGGAAAAGAGTTCTTAAACAAAGATTTCAATGAGTAAATGAAAATCATACACTTTACCACATCAAATGAGACTAAGGCATCTGTAGTAGAGCGCTTTAACAGGACTCTGAAATCTAAAATGTGGCGTTATTTAACGGCCAATAATTCTAAATGATAAAAGATATATTGAAGGATTTAGTCACCTCCTACAATCATAGTTATCATCGTAGTATTAAAATGAAACCGATTGATGTAACAAAAGATAAACCCCAGAAAACAACAACTGCTCCGCTGCGGCCCCAATGGTGGGTGATGTCAAAAGATATACCCCAGAAAACAATGCAAGTCTCATACACGGAAGGTTACATGGTTCGCCTTTAATCGACAACTTACTTCAATCACAAGAGGAAGCAAGATTCTCTGCATTATATGCTTTAAATCTAGACATTTGTCCAATCATATTAGTGAGGCATAAGAATTATAATACACTATACTTTAATTAATATAGTTGTATATAGCTAACTGTAATATCATGAATTTCATAGGGTTGTTAAGGAATTGTTTTGTGCCACATTTTAAGACTACAGACCAGTATGCTCCAGACAGACAGCTTTCTATTCAGCTTCTCCTTTACCTGCGAAAGGGGAGAGGATGAAATTAAGTTTTGGAAACTCAGAGGGGAAAAGAGGCATACTTTCGTAGTATTACAATGACCTAAAACCCATGTCTATGTTACAGGCCCCAGGCGCAGGGTGTGTGGACAGATAATAAAACCTGTAAAACAGGAGAAATAACACTGGAAACTTGCTGCCGTTGGTCTTGACGGTCATACCAGAATGGCAAGATTACGACAGCTACGTCATCAAAACAGTTGCCAACCGGCTGTAGGAAAGCGCTATGCTGCCCCCTACTGTCTTAGTGGAGTACATATTCGTAATGCTAAAACATTGGAGGACTTTGGTGACTCTACATCAAATTTATATACAGTGTTACAAAACAAAAGATATTGTTAAATTGAACCAAAAATAAAATGTGACCATACATTTTTTGTGCGTCACACGCTCCTGGACAAAAATAAAATGGCTCCCGACATCTCAAAAATCATATTCAACCATTATCATAAAAACCTTGAGTTATTTTCAACCAATTTGATTCTAGTGTTTGTCTAGACAAGGTCAGGTAAGTGTGTATTTCAGGTAAGGCAATGTAAGTATGTTTGTGTTATGTAGGCATAGGTAAGTATGTGTATGTAAGTAGAGGTGAGTATGTGTTGAACGTGTTTTTGTCCTTCAGTGTAGGTAAACAGGAACAGAATAAGGCACTACCGTAATGTAAGGCATTGCCTGGTACATCAGTGGCTGGTGAGGTAATTGGTAAGGTGCTTGGTAAAATGTGGGATAACTTTCCTGTTGTGGCATGGGGCATGGCTGTGCCCTTACAGTGTTTACAGAGCTGTGTGTTTGGTATGAGGGCTGACCTAAGGACTCATATGTCAGAAGCTGTGTGGGCCTTCCGTTTCATGTGGACCTCCTGACCAGCTCATTATGTGTGTCAACTACAACAGTTACTACAGGTACATTATCTTTATCTGTGCTGGGTCTTGTTCCCTTAGGCTCATGCTCTTCAAACTGTGCTTGTTCTACAGGAAAGTACTCCTTGTTGCTTTGTACTGGTTCATCTTGTCTTTGTTTTCTTTCATGTGTGTTAACACTGTGGTTTTCTCTTCTGTTCTCTTGCACCAGTCGGGCTGCTTTAGGCACCCTTGCAGGTAAGATGGATATGGGCTGCTCTAGTCTTGCCTCCCTTGCAGGTAAGATGAGTCTGGGCTGCTTGGGGCCCTCTGAAGTTGGAAAGTGAGCTGCATTTTCCTCAGGCTGAGAGAACGTTTCACAATTCCCAGTTCAGTCTCTGTTTGTCTCGGCACTCTAAACCAGTACTGTATTCCTGGAGATTCCTCGTCACCTGTCTCTGGGGACACATTGTAGACGGAACGTCGGGATGTTCTCGAACAACATACACTGTTTGTTCCCAGTAGGACTTTAACTTCCTTGGACCTCCCCTCTCACCCAGGTTCCAGACCAAGACCCTATCACCAGGCTGAAGGATGACCCCTTTCAGGTGACGTTCATAATATTTCTTGCCTCTTGCACTGGATTGTTGACTATTCTCGGAGGCAACTCGATAGGCTTCTCTCATTCGCTTCGCCCATTTCTCTGCACAAGCCCTGGGAGAATCTTCTTCCTCTTCTGTAGACAGACCAAACAACAGATCAACAGGTAGGCTTGGATGACGTCCATATATTAAGTAGTATGGTGAAAAGCCTGTGTGAACCCATTGAGGTGAAAAGGTGCAACGTGCACATTTAAAGACTTTAGGTTACTTCAGTCATGCTTGCATGTGTTGACTCAGCAGGGATGAAATAAAATGAAAAACAGGAGAAACATATTATATTATATATAGCAATACAGAATGCCTGAGAGCCTTACAGCACTATATTACAATATATTTTTATTTTTTGAATTGTCACCTGAATTTTGTGTTTCCTTTTAGGACGTCCAGTGTCAAGTCTCATGGGTTACGAGTTTTGTCAAACCCGTAATCTAAGCCCTTAAAAGCAAGGATGGTGTATTGTTGAGGGGTGTCCGACCGATTTTGGTGGGCCGCAGAAAGCTGTCTCGTCTCGGAAGGCCTAGAGACACACACAGGCTAAAACATGTGGCCAGCTGCGTGGACGTTCATAACACTGACTTATCAACAGTCCCCAATGTATATTTGGCAGAGAAACAGAGAGAGAGTCACGGACACGTGGATGCCGGGAATTCTGCTTGCTGTATTATAAACAGCTTGCTATATTATCGCTGCCTCTGGTCAAGTTGACAATTAACAGCAGGCCAAAATGGCCCTCGGGATTGCCTGGAAATTTCCCGGCGCTCCCTTCTCGTTTTTCAACATGAAATAAAAAATATTTTTGTGTCAAATTTGCAGGTCGCACATGTGCGAGTAGTTATAAATACTTACACTGTCTCAAAAAATGGTCGCAAAATGCGAGCATTTGGGGCATCAAGAGCCACCCCGCACAGACGTGTCCTGGAATCTGCTGGTGTTGGTCCACTGTGTTTTCTCAAGTCCAGAATCTATGCAGCCATCCACCAGGAGATTTTAGAGCACTTCATGGTTCCATCTCCTGACAAGCTTTATGGAGATGCTTGTTTCCTTTTGTCGTGTAAAAAATTCAAGACTTGGGCCAGATAAGAAAGCTTGAACTTTTACCAACAGTTTTATTATCAACAAAAATAGACACCAATTAGAATACAAAAGTTCCACCGGAGTGTGTCAGAGATCGGTGCAAAATAGAGCCCCATTCTGTTACCAGAACAGAGACCCGAGTTGACATGAAAACCATGTAACAACTGACTTTCACCTCCTTTTGGACCTCCTTTTATAGCTCTATTTCTAGGCATCTATCTCTTGGCTCTCTTTTCTGCTGCACCTGGGTCTGGGAAAGTCCCAGATTTTCACATGCCTCACTACGACTACCGCTTTCCATCCTTTCAGCTTTAGGTGGATTTTTATCACTTTTATTTCACTATGACTGGGTGTCTCTCTTCCCCACGTTTTCCAGTCTTTCAGCACTTGGTGGATTTGTATTTAACTATGATTGTTTTTGACTGCACTGATGTCTGTTTTTTTTTTTACTGCACTGCTCCTCCTGTCTGTGTCCTTTGCGTGCCCTCTGCTGATCATAGTATTTCAACCATAACCTGACTTTGTGGAATAAGTTGTGCTCTGTGCTAGAAACAGGACATTCTTACTGATGGACTATATTGATGTGAAGCTAAGAACACTATAAACAAATCACTGAATCATTTTTAATGTGCAGCAGATGCTCATAACTCACAGTAAAAACTTCTGAAGCCAACCAATGATAGCAAATACGCTACATATGAATAAGTTATAGATCAATGAACAGATCAAATAAATATATTCACTATTCATTGAGCCACTACAGATAACCTCATTCATTAATAAGATTTGTGACAAAATGAGTAATCACATTTTAATTATGCTGGTGTTTTAGCTATGAAACCCAGATGTCAGCTGTACAAAGTATCATAGTATGTTGTCATGTTCTTTTCAGTCCATTTCAGAGTGAAATATTGAACCATTTACTACACTACATTCATCTGACAGGTAAAGCCACTTTATTTGATTTATAACATGGTACATTTTGACCACTCATTGGCCAATTTTCTACATAATGAGTACTTTTACTTTTGGATATTTTGCAGAAATACTTTTAATCCATGTATTGCTTTAGATGCAGGACTTTTACTTGTAATGGAGTGTTTTTACATTATTGTTTTGTCACTTTTTCCTAAATATAAAGGATGTAAGTACTTCTACTTCACCTGGTACTACGTACATTGAATACAAAGACAACTGAAGTAGAAATATGACTCATGATAACAACGTGATCATGGGAACTAAACACTGCTTCGAGATTGGTATGAGAGCCACACCTGCTTACGGACAAATCTGCACCTGAACTTCCTCGTCTGTCAAGCTCAGAAAAACATTTGCCATTTTCTCCGGGCAAGTTTTCTTTCAGTTGGCAATATGTCTCATGCTCTCGGCTTCCTAATTCTCCAGTTTGCATTTTCAAGAGCAGGTAAGAAATAAAGCTTAATCTATCATTGTTTATTTGTGTTACTGCTCAAGTACATACAACAGAGTCAAATATTTGCTTGCTAGAATGTGAAAGTAGTTTATAACAATAGAGACAGACAAACCTTTGTTCACATGTTTAGCTTTAGAGTCTGATGAGTGAGAATATTAAATGAACCAGAGAATACAACTAACTATATATATATATATAACTAATATCTGTTGAAATTATTCTTACAGATGCTCTCTATGGTCACGTTTTGATGCGTTGCCAATTTAGTTCCCATGATGGTCACGACACTGTGTTACTGGAGCAGTACTACCTCAACAAGATGCTAATGTTCCAGTACAACAGCACTTTGGGAAAACTGATCGGCTACACAAAGGAAGCAATAGAATATGCAGATTTCCTCAATGGAATACCAAGTTTTGTGAATAAAGAGAAATGGAAAGCAGACATTTGCAAAAGAAACGTCCCACTGGTTTATAATAGCCTTCTGACCCCAGGTGAGACAATATAATGAAAATTTCCTTCAGTGTGTAAGATTTAGTGAGTTCTATTGGCATAATATGGCGTTAATATTATTATATTAAGTATGCTTTCATTTGTGTACAATAAACTTAAAATAAGTTGTATTCATTGGCTTAAAATAACCCCCTTATATACTATATACACAGAGGGAGCAGGCCCCCTTCCACAGAGAGTGCCATGTTTCTAAAGTAGCCTAAAATGGACAAACCAAACACTGGCTCTAGACTGGGCCTCCATAGTTTTCCGTGAGTTTCGCGGTCACCATAGTTTCACACATGCTTGGCACAGAAGGGTGAGGCAAACTGTATTCACTTGGTTGCAATCTACAATGTCACGCTCAATTCCACTAAATCCTACACACTGCTCATTTAAAGCAAAGGTTTTGGGAAACACTTGTGGGAGCGGTCCGTAAATCAATTTGCATTCACAGATTCGTGGTGTATTCATTTGTATTCCTTTATTTCAGGATCACTTTGACAACAATTGAAAGAGTTCACACTTCGTAATTCTGCATTCTGCGATTTAAAATTGTTTGCCTTTCCACCCCCTATGAGCAGCTGTTCACCCATGGCTAAATCAACGACCAGATTGCCTCTTACTTACGTCACAACAAAAACTTCTCATAATCAACATAATAATAAATAAATATGGCCAATCTGCATTATGGCTTCAACAATACTTATGCTCTTTTCTTCCTGGGAGTTAACTGATCAGAAGCTCAACATCACTCTAATGTACATTACTTAAAAAACCCCAAAAGGTGTTGTGTACATGATTGTATACACAGGGAAATGAGGGATGTGGACCCAATATGCAGACAATAAGGCCGAGCAGATTCAGTTGAAAGTTTGTTTGGCTGCAGTTTGGTGCTGTTGTAACTTTATGTGAAAACCTCTTAACATCCATTGTGCTAACAGGTTCTGATAACAGCTCTCGTTATGTGCCCACAATAGCTTTGTTAACTTCATACTCATGATAGCCTACACCGTTAGAAAGCTAAAATTCTTGAGATTAGACCAATGCAAACCATTTGAAAGAATACAGCGGTTACAGCGCCTCAGTCAGACCAACCAGTACAATTAAAATTGACACGATTCATCAATGAAGTCTCATAGTAATCCACCGATTAATATATTCCAACAAAAATGGTCTTATTACATTGTTAAAGGTCTAGACGATCAATTCCAGTAAAAATTGGTCGGACACCCCTCACTAATACACCATCCTTGCTTTTAAGGGTTTAGATTAACTGAAGTCAAACCAGCCCTCGCGCTGTTTTGTGATGCATGTTCTTTCTAGGCATTACGGTAACATCGTGTCGCAGCACATTTCAAAATAAAAGTGAGCTTCTGCTGAACATAATGCAATTGATGTGGCAGAAACGATTGAATGAATAAATGAATGCTTAAGACAACACAAGTATCTAAAAAAAAAAAAAAAGACATTCTCACAGAAAGCTTACTGCATTCAGCCAAGATTCGAACTCATGTAAAAAGAAAACCTTCTGTTTCCACTGACTCATTTCACTCCACAGTGATGGCAGACCACCTCACTGCTCTTCAACAGAGGATTATTGCATATTAGCCTAATATGGAAAATATTTTTTATGTTGTTGTTGAGTTACTCACTCCCTACAGGTTGAGCTATTCCTGCTATTTGGCGGCCCTCCCTGTGAAGATTATTTTTTGGGGGGGGGGGGGTTTAGGAACAGAGAGCAGAGGGGGTGGGGGCTAGTAAGAGATGTGATTGGGCCGGCCCAGTGTCAGTATAGAAAATCACCCAATGGTCCGCTGTCCGTTGTGCCGATGACTGGCACTTTGTGTAGTCAATTAATTCTGTAAATAACGATATCCAGCTTTAAGTGGGAAGTTCATGATCTACTACCAAAAGACACATCTGCGTCAAGCTATGGTGTGATCATAAACTGTGATGCAGTAGCAGGCCCTTGCTGCCAAGGGGCAGTGCTAAGACAAACCCTTAGAAAAACCTGTGTAAAATATTCATTTTTCATGGTAATTGGTATAAAAATTTAAGATTGGACAAGTTTTATGCTGTGGCCCCACAGTGTTTTCCAGCTAATAACTCCCAGCTACAGTTGTCTGCATGCATTTGTTGGCAAGATTTTTCAAGGGGAAACGAAAAATATAAAATATATTACTTTTAGTATGTTTACACTTAGTTACCGTTACTAACATGTGTTTCTATTGCTCTATGTTTCTACCCCATTTCAATTATCAGTGAAGCCAATAGTAGACTAATTAATAGAAAACCTTTGTGTATAGTTTATATTTAGAACAGAAACACTCTTCCAAATCTTCAAAAATGATCATACAGTTGAATTACCACCTCTCTTAAACTATTTAAACAAGCTGGATTCCTTAGAATTTCATATGACTTGACTTGTGACTTGCTTGACCCCAGCAAAGACTTGACTTTCATCACCGTAACTTGGGACTTGACTTGACTTGGAAAAACAGATAGAAAACAAAAAACAGAGACTTCAGTTTTTTCTTCTGTTTTAAAACCGAAAAGGAAAAATATAAATTTTGATATTTAATGTGTGATTTGTATAGCTTTGTGTGTTACACTTGATAAACCTGCAGCAGATACACTTGGGTGATGGCGGTGCCTGATTAAATGTAATTAAGATGAGCTTGAACATCAACAGAAGTTTGTTTTTAGTTAGAAAAACAGGAGGCTCAACGTTCAGTTTGTGACTCACTTGCAACTGGGACAGAAACAGGAATGCCTCAGAAGTTGCCTGAGAATCCTCCGGTTTTTAAGATTTCTTCAGGATCAAATTAATTCAGTGATAGTTGTCAGTGTTGTTATTGCAGATATACTGTTATTAATTTGGCAAGTTTTAACAAATCATACACAGATAGCACACTATACTGGGCTCATTTGGAGTAAAGCTCAGCATTAAAACACGGTATGGACTGTATTAATGGCAAATAAAGAGGTTTGAGTGGGTCCCTTCTATGGCACTATAGCCTACAATATGCACAACATTTTGGTAGCCTACTGTGTTGTGGGCAGAATATTAGGTTACTTATATTCTACTCTTCCTGTGGCTCAGTGTTGTCAATTAGGCTATTTAATGTATTTTGACAGTATTGTCGGTGTCAGATAGTCACTGTTTTAAATTATTCCTTTGTTATAATGCGTACGCTAGTATTGTGGGGCTGTAATGTAGTGATCAATGTTGCGTGGCTAGTGTGCGAACTATAGGCCCACCATAGGCCTAGCTTTGGGGGGAGCCCTCTTTTTTTCCCAGTGGGGGTGGTGCGGGGGTTGTTTGCCCGTGCCTCAAAGGGAGGACTGACTGGGACTCAAAGAAACATTCATAGCTGCAAGCATGTAGGCCTAGTGCTGAATGTGAACATTTCAGGTATTGTTTATTCCTATTATTATTATTATATGTAGCCATTATGCTACAGTTAGTGTAGAGAAAACAACAGATGCGGCAGCCTCTCCACAGTTCACACCCTGGCCGTAGCCTTGAGAAAAATCCCTTGATAAATGTATTCAGGTATTTTCTTAGATCGATTAGGTAACCGGCAGCTTCAGATGAGCCCAATATAAAATTCTACCTGGATGCTGACATACTTAATAGTTGACTGGAAATATCTTGAGTGTTTGAGTGGCTCGTTGGAAAAGCAATGCGCCACAATAAGGATTTGTTTTTACTCTTGTGAGTTTGAACCCAGCTCACCGCAATCTTGCAAAAAGTAGCCTACATTTTCTTTAACCAAGGGGTACATGTCCTGATATCGGGCAGGAGATCGATTTTCGCTTACTTTTGTGTTTTCTGTTTTAGCTGTTTTCAGTCCAAAAACAGCGGCTGTTTGTGTCAATAGGCATCGTAGTCGCGGGCAGCCATCTTGGTGAGGTCAGTGAGCTGATAAGTTTTGTTTCTGTCGTCAAATATAGAGCCTAAGTCACTCGCTTCCGGCCCATCCATCCATCCATCCAACTTCATCCGCTTATACGGGGTCGGGTCGCAGGGGCAGCAGATCCAGCAGGGGACCCCAAACTTCTCTTTCCTGAGCCACATTAACCAGCTCTGACTGGGGGGTCCCGAGGCGTTCCTAGGCCAGTGTGGCGATAGAGTAATCTCTCCACCTAGTCCTAGGTCTTCTCCGAGGCCTCCTCCCAGCTGGACGTGCCTGGAACACCTCCCTAGGAGGCATCCTTATCAGATGCCCAAACCACCTCAACTGGCTCCTTTCGACGCAAAGGAGCAGCAGCTGTGCAAACGACCCCTGTGGATCTTCCTATGGATGGTGGGTCCAAAGGATGGAGAGGGGGGTGCCATGTTGCCAAACCTGGCCACCAGGCGCTCACCAGCGAGCCCTCCCTCTGGGCCTGGCTCCAGACAGGGGCCACGGGATCTCTCCTCCTCTTCCTCGATTTTTCATAAGGGTCTTTATGAACCATTCTCATTCTTTTGAAGAAAACCCCCAATAAAATTGAACATATAAACAGTAAATATGGCCAAAACATGGACATTCACCTGGCATATTTAAAAAAAAAAAAATTATGTAATAACTGTTGTATATTAGTTTCTTTTCATCAAATTTACAGTTACAGTTGTATTCCAGGTGTATTAGAAGACACAGTTGCATTATAGTGAGCTGGATGATGCTTTTAATGGTGATAGTGCTTAAAATATAGATTTTATACCAGGCGAGGATGAAAATATCATTTTCCTTTTTGCATCTCCATTTACTCTTTAACAGAAAAATATTGTATTATTAAAAATACTGATTTATCTTGGGTATGTTATTTTAGGTGTTTTTAATAATAATAATAAGTGGCAGGTACCATATGGTTTTTTTTCCGTATGTGGCTATAATATAGTGCTCACTTCTACAATCATATTTGCCAGTCACTATGAGATGCGATGCGACTTGAAAAGAAATAGCCTGTATGTTTTGTGAGTGTGACCAATCTGGGGACGGAGGTAGACCACAGCTGTTGCAAACAACAGGCGCACTTGTACAGCAGCCAGTTAGTTTAAAAACCAGTAGGGGTATAACACCAGTTGTAGATAGAACAAAAGGCATCTGCTTTGTTTTTACGTTTTGGGTTTAAAGCAGAAAAACAAAACAGATGTCTGTTTTTTTGTTTACCATTTTTCCATTGTGGTTTTAAAATAGCAAAACCAAAATACTACTTGTTTTTTTGTTTTTTCCGATTTGGTTTTGAAATGTAATAAAGAATGAACCATACATGGATTCGCTGGCTATCTAGTTAGGATTGTTTTCTTGGCTCTCAGTAGTTGCCAGGCAACCAGGATGTTATTGTTTGCCTGGCAGAGAAATAGTTCTGCAAAGACTTGTATTTCCCTAAATGTCAAACATTTGCTTTAAAGGCAATTTGTATAATGTCATAATAAATGCATGGGGTAAAGATGTGAAATTTATGACAAAATGTGTCTTGGGTTATTTTCCTCTAGTCGAGCCCTCCGTCAGGCTGAGGTCAGTTGAGGCAGTGGGCAGCAAACATCCAGGGATGCTCGTCTGCAGTGTGTACGACTTTTATCCCAAACAAATTTGGGTGACTTGGCTGAGGAACGGAAAGAAGGTGACATCTGATGTGACGTCCACTGATGAACTGCCCAATGGGAATTGGCTCTACCAGATGCACTCCTATCTGGAGTTTACACCCAGACCAGGAGAGAAAATCACCTGTATGGTGGAGCACGCCAGCCTCATGGAGCCCAAACTTTATGACTGGGGTAAGAGAGTGTGCATGTGGACAGCTAAAGTAAAATTACCTCAAGCAATGAGGTATTACCGGTGGTGTAATGACACTAACTACATTAACTGAAGTACTGTTTACTGTTCTTAAGTACAATATTGAGGTTACTCGTTACTCTACAGCTTAAACTACCACACTTTATATACAATAGTGAAAATGATCCATGGTAAAATGCTTAAGTATCAGTAATAATCCACTATTAGAACAGCGGGTAAGATGCTTTTGAAATTTACACAGTACAGTTTGATTCTGATTATACTTATGTACTTAAAAACAGATCGTGTTTCGGCACTACGTTATTCTTGTTCTACTTCTGGTAGAATTCAGGCAGTGCAGACACTTTTGAATACGAATTTTTGAATAAGCCATAATTTTGACTTGCATCAACATGTTGTTCGGTTAGCTCAGTTGGTAAGGTACAGGACTTGCAACCAGGGCTTGACATCAACACCCGCCAAATGCGGATGGATTTCAGCCTTGGCGGGTAACACAGTCACTCCCTAGCCACTTCCCAGTTAGCAAACATTATTGAAACTATGTTGAATCAACATTCTGCTGTAAGTGTTAATTTCATTGCATCATTTTGCACCCTTTTTTAATATTGAAACCACATTGAAATCATAGCCTAACTAAAAATCAACTTGACTTCAATGCTATTTCAACCAATATTAAACCACAGAAAAGAGACTATAATATATAAAAAATGTATAAATGACAGTTAAAAAATACATGTTTATTTATGGAATAAAAAAAATTATTCACTACTCCTTCTCTGCTCTGTCCACCCATCTAGGTCTGGAGCATAGAAAGCCATTTTTGTGCTGCCTGGGCAAAGTCAAAAGGCTTCTGTCCCCATTGGTTCAGAAAACATACAAACAAAATAACTTTCAGAAGTGAAAATGATGTGAAGATGAACAATGTCAGTCAGGCTGAATTGGTGCTATATTATATAGATATTATATTCGGCCAAGGTTAACAGTTAACTTACTTGAATTCTCACTAACGTTACAGATTCGCCAGTTTATTGTAGATGTAGACTGCCTGGCTGTAGTGGAATCTATGGCGTTTATTTTAAGTCATAAGTTGTGAGCGTGTAAAACCTGCTCGAGCAAATTATGTTAGTCCACATGCGCAAAAAGTAACCTTCCAGCGCGCACAATACAGTACTCGCGCACAAATTCAACAAACGAGAGTTGTACAGGTTTCTGCGTGCGAGCGCCTGGTTTGCGCACAGTGTGCTTCTACTCGCTCAGCGGATTTCTGCTTGCTCCAGTCTACATGACTTTTGACAATTTGGGGGCGGAAACCAAGGAGGGCACTGGCCCTCTTATGATTGGTCACTTTCAATGTGATCACAACCAGAGCCCTTAATTAAGGGAGTTACGACACTCTCGTTGCCACGCAATCACGTGCTCCATGCAGCTCTCAGTAATTCCAACCAGTCCGGGCTGTCAACCACTTTGAACGGTTTCAGGTGGGACAGACACCAGCAGCGACTATATTTGCAGCGTTTTTCGGATAAATATTAAGACATAATGTGTTTTGATTACTATCCTTATACTTACATATGATACCATTTCTTCTGGGGAGTCGGGAAAGCAGTATTATCCGTTTGTGCTTAATTTTGGAGGGAAGAGGTGTGACGTTACAACACTAACAGCAGACTATATTTGCAGCACTTTTCAGGTATAATGTGCATTGATTACTACGTTAACTGTACTTACAGTAGTGATTCTTTTTTTTGGAAGGACGGAGAGACAGCATTAACAGTGTTATTTGTTGAAATGCAGATGGTTAGGCTACTGAGTGAATTACTCTATTCTTAAATACAATCCATATAATTACTGATTTGTAATTTATTTTAAAATGGCTATTGTAACGTTACCCCTTTATCCTTCCCAAAACACAGGCTAAACTATCTCAGAACACACAAATACATGCATAGAATGTACTGTATATGCAGAATATATATAATTAGTCTACTGTATCACATGTCCTAATGTACTGTTGTGTTAAGACACGTCACATAAACATCTCCAACAAGTGAATATCAATAATTAACTGAAGCTGCTCAGTTTAAACACTTTATTATACATTATCTACAGGGAGAGGGTAAGTGAGGTTTTTTGTTGAGGAATGTCAGAAGCAGACCAGGTCATAGGCCCCAGATGAGACCAGCTCTTGAGACACAAGCCTGGTGCTGCTGGAAAGAACAGGGAGAAGAAAGATGAAACAGTGTTAATACAAGGTTAATACATTTAAGAAATGGATTTTAATATTATAATATAATTATAATGTACATGAAATATAATGTACAAATAATTTCATGAAGTTGAGCTTACAGGAGTTGTACTGGACATTGGCATGATTTTGGTTATTTGGTTCTGTGCCCCAGTAAAGAATTTGATATTACGTAACTATAAACTTTTTCATGTTATTTCAGTGGACTAAAAGTTGTAAGACAAGTTCCTTTACACCTTAATAAAATGGTCATATTTAGTACTACTACTTTGTTGCAAATTCTTTGAGTTTAATGACCAAATATTAAATACCAGAAGAGGGACTAAGTGTGCACACAAACAGGGAAAGGCCAAATCACTGCAAGGTAAAAAAGTCTGCGCACTTTTAAGGACTCTTCTGGTGCAACACATTTAATTTCCGTTGTAAATATGAAAATACAGTTTTAATCAGGAGCGCTCTCTGTAGCCTGCATTCTTGGACTTCATCAGGTACTGACGGCTCATTCTACTTTGCTGGCGTTAGCTACTGATGCCTCAGTATAATGCATAGGGCGCCCTCTGCTGACCACACTGCGCTTAGCAGGCATGGAATCATCACATCTCAGCAACAGAACAGCATAACTCATGTAAGCGACAAAGTAGTCACATTATGTTCTGAGAACCTAAGCTTTCACTGAATTCAAAAATTAGGGGGAGTCAACCCTGTACTGTTCAGGATTTATTTACACAGGCATACATAGAAGTGTTAATTCACTTACATGTTTTATCACTGAGGTCATACTTGGCGATGTTGGTGTTGTACTGAGCTGCATTATATCAGAATCAGCTTTATTGCCAGGTATGTGTACACATGAGGAATTTGACTCAGGATTGTACATTGCTCATGATGTGCTTACTCATACAAAAATACAACACAATAAAGTTTCTGATATTCTGGCCCATTAATGTACATTATGTAAATAGGGAGGACAACCTCATCCAACACAATGTAGTTCAGTAAAACAGCCTTTAATTTTAACCTCAGTATTAAACATTTAATTAAATTTACACATTTATGCTCATGTGTAAATTTAATTAAATAATGGCACAGCTGTTGTATTGAACTGCATTACATTGTAAAGGTGCACCTATTAAGGCCACTAAGAGCATTCAACACAGTAAGACCAGCAGCTGAAAAGGTGTGTAAATGCCTCCGTAGCTCAAATTTGTATGTCTCATGTCACTAAATTCATATTAGCATCAATGTGGAAGAAAGTTTGTCCTGTTATTGTTGGCTGGAGATGGTATTTGCACTCCACTAACTTACTCTTAAATATACAAGTTTGGCAAGTTTGTATGAGGCCTATAAGCAGATCCAGCTGCCAGTTTATTAGGTAAACACGGAGCTAAAAATAATGCAGTCCTACCTTCATGAAGGTTAAAATAATCAGTTTTAGCTGTTCAGAGGCACTGATTCAACACAAAGAGCTGTTTCTGACAGGGACATACCTCTTGATATTTGGATCCTTTGTGGATAACTGGCTTGCTCGCTCCTTAAAGTCAGTCTCCGATGGTTTCATATGTCAGCCTCTTCGACAGAAAAACATATGAAGTCGTTTTCTATCTGCTGCAGTTATAACGTTACTTGCTTTTTGTGCTGCTGATCTTATCAGCCGATGCACTGTCCAACAAACAATGTGTGTAACGTTAATGACTGAATAAAAGTTAACAAGGAACAACCTTGCTAGATACAAGCTTGCCATGTTATCTATTTCACATAGCTAACGTTACCGTTCATGGTATGTTACGTTACTACTACGGCAGCCACTAAGTGCTGTTAACTTCTACTTTAATTCTAATTAATAACCGAAGATAAACTTTGAATGCCAACGAATCAACGTACACTTATAACTTGACATTTAAAGTAAATGTCGGCAAGCTGACAGGGAGTAACGTTAACTTTATGGTAACTTAGCCAGTGAAGTGTTGCTCGGGTTAGCTAGCTGCATTTAGGATATGATGAAATTAGTTAATATCTTCCGAACTAAACTAAAGTTGAACTAAAGCTGGCTACATAAAATACCACTATTGACTAAATTCACAAGAGGTCAGTTGATGGGTTAAAATGTCAGTCATTTCATCAACTTACCAGCGTGCATAGGTACATCGGACACAACAAAAATGAATGGGATATGGCGCTCAAACTTCTTTTGTGTTTATTGGCGGTGGGCAAACCAGTTTAATGGTGCATTACTGCCACCAACTGGACTGGACTGTGGAACGAGAGATTAAGCAGTAAAAAACAAAACAGAAAAATATTTGATCTAAATCACGGCACGGCGGAAAGATCCTACACGCGTTGCGCAGACAGATGTGATACTGCACTGATGACATGACTAAAATACCAAAATTAGGTAAAAGATCCTGATTTACCTACATCCATAGTTGTGTTTTTGACAGACAGGTGACTTCATGAACAAAAATAATTTTAGCGCTGTGTTTTGATTTTCATTGCCATTCACTGTACCGGAGGCCACGCCCCCCCCCCCCGAATTTTACCAATTCCCATCTGGTCACTCTAATCCGCACGTTCCTCTTATGTATTATCCGTTTCCCAGTTTCAGTATTGAGTTTAAAGTTGATTATCCACTGTCCTTTCATAGAACCAGAGCTCCACCAAGAGGACAGAAAAGGTATGGGTCTGTAAATTGAGCAGAAACAAAGCTGCTCGGAGCGAGCAGCAGGTGGCGGTGGCATGCTCGAGGCATTGGGAGAGAGAATGTAAACAAACAGCGGTACATTCAAACATGCTGGACTCATTAGGGGACTTTAGCTGTGAAGATGGCTGAGAAACAGCCACAGAGGGAAAGGTCTGAGGAATTGAGAGACCAGTTATGACCAGGCGAGGGGAAGACCTGTGTTAACATCTGAGAGGGGTTTCAATGCTGGATAAATCTACGAGATTTGAAAGGAATGAAAACTGATGCTGAGGTCCTCTGTTTCTGCTGGACAGTTGAGTAGGCTAACGTTAGCTTTGCTGTTCCACATAAACGACAGGTTCAGTATTATTGTCTTGTCTGTCTGTTTGTGATGATCCCAGCTGGTTAGCTTTTTTTAGCTTTGGGATAAATAGATTAAGCGCATGTGTGAACAGAGCCTCAGTGAATAGAGAGAAACGGGTCAGCACCTTGTTCAGCAGTAAATGTACAGTAGAAGTTACAGAGGCTGGTGAATAAAGACTGCAGCTTCTCAGGACTAAAGAGGAGCTCCTGTGTGTTGCTTGCCAACTGTTGAATAAAGAGTGAGGTGGTTAGCACTGACTTCGGCTCTGGAGATAAACAGTCGCTCCTGTGCTTCCCAACTCTTATCAGTCACTGTATTGTGTACAAACGATTTCAAATAACTCTAGTTTTTTTTACTCTGTTGTGTTTTGGATGCAGCGTTTGTGCGCTTACACATAATTGTAAGTATTGAAGTTCCTCGATTTTCCTTTACCGATAAATAAGATTTAGGCTTAGAAAAGTATTTTGCTTCAGTACATATTTAAATATTGACAGGCTTTTCCTTCTACAGTACTGCTAAAACATGCCCTCTTATTGAGGCTAACGAGCTCTCAGAAACCAGACACTGGATTCTGCTATATATTTAAGCAGAGTAGGACTGGTTATCATGGCAATGCGCGTTCATGAGTTTGTTTAACTCTGCAGAATCGCTTAGTATCAACAATTAAGAAACAATTAACCCTCTAGTGTTTGACCTTGTTTTGCTTGCTTTATATAAATGTTTAGAATGAAGTATTTTTCAAATGTTTATATTGTGGAGAAGAGATTAATTTAAAACAAACTCAAATATACTTCTATTTAATGCTAAAACTTCGAGGCCCAAAGGTTACTCCCCCAGTGAAACCCCACTCCAAAATGACATCACAATGTCCCAAAAAGAATAGATAAGACCCAGTCGTCCTTTCTCACCCTCTTGTAATGCTCTCTCTTGTAATTACGCTCTATTAAAACTTCTTGTAATTCCGATCCTGTTTTTGTTTCGTACTTTCAACTTCCTTCCAGACAACCTGAGAAAGCTCTGTATTTCTGAATCCCCTTTTTCTTAGTGGGAGATTTGATGTTGACTATTTGTTTGGAGCTGCCTGGGAAGAAACTTTCCCCAGACTTTTGTTAAACTCAGCAATGTCAACTAGTCTATATTCCCTGGGCCTTGCGAACCTACGGTGAATGTATGCGTCTTATTTGATTTTGTTGTTTTAAGTTATCTGACCGTTGTACACAACTTTTACATTCTGTCCTCATCTCGGGTTGAACTAAGCCGCTGCTCCAACGACAGAGTTGGAGTGCGTTCCACTGAGCTGCAGTGACACCAACCGAACTCAGAGCGCCAAGCCAGGGCGGACTACCAGTTACTGTGAGCTTCATTCCCACAACCTCCAGTCAGTCAGGGACTCCGGACAATCCATCGGTTAAGACTAGCTCGAGGAGTCTGGTCGCGTGCCAAGGACCCGAAGGCCTGACCAAAGAACGAGCCAGCCGACTGCGAGCCTTGACTAGGAGGGAAAACAACAAAAGGCTTAAACTACATTCTGTGACTGGTTGGTGTCCTATAGTTGGTCCTAATCCTTAGTTTAGAAATCCCTAGTTTATTTAAACTCTATTGCAACATAACTCACGATCATTTGTTCTCTCACTCCCTTAAAATTATTCTCCTTCACAATACCAAACTGAAATTCCATTGAGCCTATTATCCTGATTTTGGTCTTACTGCATATTCTGTTCATTACATTCTGGTTTGTTTTCATGCTCGACTGTTATTCCTGTAATATTCCCATATTTACTCACTGTTGTATTCCCTTTAGTTAGTCAATAAATTTCACCTTGATTATAGTGATTTGTGTCTGTGTGTACTGTTTAGCATCCTCGGTCCCTGCACAGAGGATTCGCCCTGAGATTTGAGACTGACTGATTAACGCAACGATTTTGCATATTTGAATCATTACTAACAAATACCAGAAATTCGTGCAATTAAGCTATACTCAAGGTCCCTAAAGCCTTGGGCGGACAGCCAATCATACGTTTATTAACAGTAGCCCACGTAGGTACGGTACAATTTTAGCCATTCTGATGATTCAGATGGAAAATCAATATTTAATGTAGTCTCGCTATCTGGTTTTAGCATGTTGAAAAATTTTAGTTTTTCCAAGAGGCATCTGAAGTTACAAATGAATTGTAATTTGACACTATGATATATACATTGCTACCAGGGCTGCAATGTTATCATAAAAATATTTCTGTAGCTAGCCAGGGGTTGGCAGATGATGAACTTTACGCGAAATGTCAACTTGCCTAAGTTCATTCCAACTCAAAACCTGGCTGGTACATGTTTAGTTTTTCATCTTCATGTACATTGTCACCTAGCTAGCCATCTTACTGCTAACTCACCTCAACCTCGTAAGTGTTCTTTCATTGATTCCTGGACCCTACCATTAAGTATGCCACCTGAATGATGAGCTACACTAACCTGAGTTAAATGAATTTAAACCCTTTCACAGTCAAGGGTGCCTCACTAAAGAAGGATGTTAGTGAAAAGATTCACAGGTTACGCTATGCTTTGCTGATTTGATCCGAACGGGCGTGGACCCAGAAGTAACTAACCGTCACGCATGACGTCAGACTTAACCAGATAGTCTTGACCGACAACACTGTAAACAAGAAGACGCTGTGGAGATTAAAGAGGTGGTATTATGCTTTTTGGCTTTTCCCCCTCTCCTTTTGAGTTTTTCCTGCATGTAACAGGTTTGCAAAGTGAAAAAGCCCAGAGTCCAGCCCAGAGGGAGTTCATCTCCCACAGAAAACAAGGTTCCAAGCGAGCTGAGGAATACTTAAATGTAAGTTGAAAACACGACAGACTGCTGATTGGTCAGAGAAAATATTCACTAGTCGCTGCATCATCATCACGTGCGCCTGACTGTGGCCAGCAACAGAAAGTTTTATATTTTACAGTTTGTGTATGGAATTTCACCACTAAATCCACTTCTGAGAAGTTTTGAGGTGATCTAATAAAACCAGTATAGAGACAAGTCCTTTGTCTGATGCAATAAAGAGGTCATTAGTAATTTTCACCAGTGCTATCTGTGCTATGATGAGCTCTAAATCCTGACTGAAAATCCTCAAATAAACCATTGCTCTGTAGAAAGTCACACAGCTGTTTAGCAACTGCTTTCTCTGGGACCTTAGTGAGAAATGGAAGGTTAGATATAGGTCTATAGTTGGCTAAAACATCTGGATCAAGTTTGGGCTTTTTCAGAAGAGGTTTAATACAGCTACTTTAAAGTACTGTGGTACATAGCCTGTTGATAGAGATATATTGATCATATCTAGTATAGAAGTGCTAACTAGGGGTAAAACTTATTTAAGCAGCCTAGTCGGGATGGGGTCTAAGAGGCAGGTCGATGGTTTAGATGAAGAAATTATTGAAGTTAGTTGGTAAAGATTGAGGGAAGCAAAGCAGTCTAAACATATCTGGTTTTACAGCCGTTTCTGAGGTTCCTGAGTTTAGAGATAAGTTGGTGCCAGTTGAGGGCAGGTCTTGGTGAATTTTGTCTTTTCAAATAGTTAGAATTTTATCATTAAAGAAGCTCGAGAAGTCGTAACTACTGAGAGCT